TTTAGAGCAGTGCTGTGCGCCGGGTGTAAGGAAAGAGAGCTCGATTGAACTTGATCAAGATGAAGAGAAAAAAGTGAACAAGCAAGCAGATCGGGTGGACTCGGATTTCGGACCACCTGTCCAGCTACGCTCGTTCGCTCGTTCATCTCCTACGTCCGCTGCGTCCATCGACCTGTTTAGACGTCCATCCGCCGACCGGGGCCGCAAGGTGGACGTGCGCGCGGGATTCACGGGAGACCATCCGTGCCAATTTGCGACTCCGATGGTCAACAACGGGGTTTGGCCGAGGGGATGAATGTTGGTCACATGAAGCAACATGAAAGAGACACACACAATCGGAAAACTGATTGTCCCACAGGTGCGTAAGGGCGTCGTAATGCCGCGAAAATGAGTGCAATGGACATTTTACAGCTGCAACGCACAGATATTTCGTGCAGTACGAAATAGCATACGCCTAATGTTATTACAATTAAGTACTGTAAACAGGGAATCACATGGCTTGGGTGATTCAGCTACAACGTGACAGCTAACGATGGTACAACCGCCTGACGTGCTACTCTTATCACCCCAGCGACTACACAACACCATATTCGCAGATGCCACGTCACGCAGGCACTATCCAACGCTGGTGACCCACCTAAACGCAGGACAAACAACAGAAACACAAAAACACCGATGAATTCCATCCGCAATCGGATCAACAGCCCGCGAACTCTCCTTGGTGTGTTACCAAGAGCGCTGGACATCACGTGCCACTGCGGATGTGTGTTACAGGCAGCAGTCGCGCGCCAGGTTATAGGCCGGTTTCGTTTGTATGAGGTGAAGCTCTGTAAAATTTACTGTTTGAAACTTATATGCGCAACAAAATGATGAGTTCCTGATACAATGTGGTGAACTATGCCTAAACTATCCATCACAACCATGAAACTGCGGTTACAGTTACTGCACGATCATGTCGTCGTCGCAGTTGCTTGCTTGTGATGCACGTTTGAAATGCATAACGCCGGCATGATGCCGTTGCAGGTTACTGCTATCGTTTTTAGGTAGGTGTAAGTAGGAGGAGGTAGGAGGTAGGATTTAGGATATCCAAATGTGGCATACACGCACAGGCATTGCTGAACTGAAAACTGATTGTTTATCGGTATTCAAGGCGTCACGCCATGCATACCATACTTTTTGAGGTGCATTGTACGTCCGCTCGACGCACATGCCCGTACCCGTACACTGACACGCATGCAGCGATCAGCAATGTCGGTACATGAAGCGGCCGACACCGCATACTGCTCTCCAAGTTAACGCGTTTCAGTTCGTGTCGGTCCCCATTTTCACCATTATGAAAGGCATTTTGCTTCTCGCTTTGCAGGTTCTTGCCGATATAGGTATCAACTAGCTCTAACGCAATCTCATCGTCTCAATCTTTGAATTCCAATAAACTGTTTGGCTGACAGCGCAACCATGTTCACACTTGTGTTTTGGCGTAACATTCCAAACAATATTATGACTTCCGTTACTCTTCCTTGTTCCTCATCTAGGAGTTTTTAATTCATTCTAAGAAATAGTCCATCCAAAAATATCTCAGCATCATAGCAAGCCACATATAGATGACTTAGTGTATCCACCTGACCAGGTTGGTTGCAAAACGGATCTGTAGCTGCGCGTCTTAAAAATAAGTTCCTCCTATTTTGGTAATATCTATGCATTAGCCTACGCTGCATTGTTTGTAATGTCATCGATAAGGTCATCTCAAAAGACGAAGCATGCAAGTTTGCCCATTTAATACCAAACTTGATGTTTTTTGCCGCCCAGCGATTTTGTGCTGTAGAAATATGCTTCTGTTATCCTAACACGTATAGATGTTTCCACTTGCGTCGCTTTGTTGTTTTGTCTTCCCTTTAAATGACGCAGGAAAGTTAGCGGAGTTTTTGTCAGACATGAAAGGTATATCTCCATCTCGCAACACAATCTTTCACTGTCTCGGCATGGCACGGCCCCACCCTAAGCATGTCAATAAATTTGCACACCTTACGGGATGTTTTTCCCTTAATACTTTGTAAGTCAGTACGCACTTTCTATGATCCACCAAATCCCCGATAGTTTTAATGCCGTTTGGATATAAGGTTGCATGAATGATGGGACTTCCATTCACCGCTATATATATATATATATATATATATATATATATATATATATATATATATATATATATATATATATATATGTTATGCCAGATATATTGGCTGCTCACATCTTTCTTTTTGATGGGAAAAACGTTAGCAGCCTTTGCAGCAACATTTGATAACCGTTCAACCCATGCATGGCCGTAGTTGAACTTCAGTGTACCTTCTAGCCGTATGGATGGATTCTAGCAGCCAATATTTTGGCGAATGGCGCCTCCCTGGCGCTTTCTATTTTACCCATCCACGCAGCCCTGCTAAGCCCGATATATCAGTGACAATATTTGCGCTCTTAAGTCCCCTTCTTATATGATTTGGAAAAGCGTCGCCTTGGCTACCTTGGGTAGACGTCCTCGTCATAGCAATTTCGTGGTGTAGGTGTGGATCATGTCTTAATCAGTTTTATCGACTTGGCTGGTTGTCATCAGATGCGTCAGTTGCGAAATGACGCGGGGTTTTGTCACTGCAGTAACACCCTTAAGTATGAGGTAGCGTTGTGGTGAGGCGTTAAGAGTTCGTTTTATCTCCCCAAAAGCTGGCTCCACATGATCTCGATGACGCGCTTCGTGCTGAAGCTTTGCCTGAGATTCACTGAGTGTGGCGCCCCTGTTTTAAAAGTGCGATACACGAATATTATCGCTTTCTAGTCCATATTAGCACGGGTCCGGGTGGCCGGCCGGATAACCTTCACTCCGGTGGAGGCGGGGGGGGGGGGGGGCAGTTTGCACCTCCGTGGGATCTCGGAACTAAGAAAGCTAGAGACACCAAATTTAGGGGGTGCTGACCTGTACGTAAACTCACTTTGGTGAAAGTTTGAAGTTCCTAGGTCATAACCTTCGGGTCAAATGGGGCCAAACAAGGTTAAATTTCCGGTAAGTCTTCAAAGTGCCCCCAAAACCTAGATAACTGTTTCTAAGCAAAAGGTCGCATGGTCATTTAAAGACATGGCCTTGTTTGACCTTTTGAAGGTCATGGTGTCCAAATTCCCATGGGAGCCATAATCCACGAAAGATGTGTAATGCGGTTCCTGTTACCAATAAATTCGAAATGAGCACCAGAAACTATCGCATACAGCAAGCCCCAGAGTAATAAAACAGCCTTATTTTGACTTCGGCCTGACCTTCATACCTGACCTAAGGTCGATGTAATTTGTTCACTCAACATTTATGTTGCCCAATAAAGTATCTTAGAGATGTATGGCTTCGTCTAACACTCCGTTGTTGCATTAGGCTGAACGATTCCCTAGAAATTGACTTCGCTGAAAACGTGGCCTGACTTTGACCAGCCATAGGTCAACAACCTTACAAGGGACGTCTAATTTGTTACACCAAGTGATCCGCTATTCAGTTGTCTACAGCTATGCACAATTTGGCGCAGGTACGCCGCGTCTTTGGGAACCATTCCGGAAAACTTTCGGGGGAGTCAATTTACCCCCCACCCGAGCGCGTGTTAAGAAAAAGGCACACACCTCACCGGATCTAAGCGTTTTATAGTTGACATTATCACGCACTCAAGGGGGAGAGTCAAATTGACTTCCCTCGAAGGTTTTCCATCCTTATTTCCGAATGGCACGGCTTGGCAGCGCTAAACTTTGCATGGCTGAAGAAAATTTAACAGGTGATCTTTTGCCGTAAGAAATTACATGCAGTTTGTCAGGTCGCTGACTTGGCCATGTGCGTCAGCGAAGGGCATTTCTGAAGAATCAGTGAATGTGATGCAACGACGGAGTGCTAGGCAAAGCCATACGTATCTGAGGTAGTTTCTTAGGCAGTAAAGCAATTCAATTTTGAATTACCTTCAATCTCACTGGCGTGGGGCTGAAGGTCAGAAGGTCAGGACATGATCAAAACTAGCCTACTTTTTTATTTGACAGCTTGGTCTTATGGGGTAGTTTCTGGTGCTCACTTCGAATTTATTAATGAGAGGGACTGCGGCAAACATGTGGTCCATTTTTTACAGGTCAGAGTAGGTAAATGGTTTAAAATGACCCAGGTCAACACTGTGTTTTTGGAAGCATACTTCCTAACGCAATCCCTTATGCTTATTCGAATGGCAGAAGAGGAGCAATCTCGTGGGTATTTGGTCACCGTAAGCTTATGGAGGTCGAAAAGATCACTGACCTCGTTGACCTTTTGCTTAGCACAGGTATCCAGTTGCAATGCTGTTACATAAGGGGTTCCGGGGGTACTTGAGACACCAATCTGGAATTTGGCCTTGTTTGACCTTATTTGACACCAAGGTCACAACCTAGGAACCTCAACTTTGACGCAAGTGAGTTCAAGTACAGGTCAATCCAAGCCATTAATTTGATGTTTCTAGCGCTTAGTTTTCGAGATATCAGGGCATTAAAGGACCCTCCACCCCAACTCGGGCGAAGGGTATCCAGTCGGCCACCCGGGCGCGTGTTATGACAAACGCGTACATCCCAAATTCAGGGCACTCGGACATGATGGGGCCACAGGCCTGTGACGTTCCGACGTGCTATGCGCCAGCGGTACCAGCCGCTCTCCGCTCCACGTCGGCTCCCACCAGGCCGGAAACGGACCGGGCGCCAGCAGTGCCAGCAGCTCTCGACTTCACGTCGGCCCTCACCGGGCCAGAGACGTGCCATGCGACAGCGGTGCCAGCCGCTCCCAGCTCCACGTCGGCTCTCACCGAGTCAGAGACCGGCCGGAAGCCATCAGTGCCAGCCTCTCTCGACTCCACATCAGCTCTCACCAGACCGGAGACGGGCCGGGCGCCAGCGCGCGTCTCGCTGAAGCTGTCCACCAGCAGGAGGCCGGCAGTGGCGGCGCGCAGCTGGTGCGGTCGGCAGCCGCTGTCGGCCGGCCGGCGCCACCAGCGCTCCGCCACGCCACCGTACAGCAGCCAGGCGTAGTCGTCGCCGTACATGCCCAGCCGGTACGCCTGCGGGGCAGAGCCGCGGGCTCAGGCGCCGGAACACGCTCTGGGAGGGCCACGGAGGGGGCCGGACATCACCAGAGGCGGCAGGCCACGATCAGCACCAAGACAGCGGTGCGGCGTCAGGAAGACAGCGGACACATGTGAACATTGGTGCCCGCCAGACACAGGGACACCCACAGGTAACTATGGAACGTCAGGACTTGTCATGTACACATGGATATGAGATCGAACTGGTCCGCTGGAAAAAATGGCAGGCAACTTTGCCAGACATTGAAGAAAACCACCCCAGCCTGATAAAAGCCGAGCAACTGCCTGTCAGTTCGAGAGAAAACAAATCGCGGTGATATGCATGCATAGTACGTTATTAACGCTGACGCGTTGGCGAAAATAATGAAAACTAGAAGAGAGTGGCGATGATAGAAGAGCGACGGTAGTAGAGCGGAGCGCCAGACGTTCTCTATGTCCGGTCGGGAAAACAAATCGCTGAGCGAGCCATCTCACTTTAGCTTCATATGCGCAGCACGTCAGCAGATAACATTAAAATGGTTGATTTCCTCTCGGACAACGGTAGAATGCCACCGCTTAAGGGATGAGCCATCTCTCTCACCAATGCCGCGCCATTTTTTTTTTTCAACAGCATGCGCGGCGGCGAGGTTCTCAGGCCCACATCAGGTTAGCATGCAACGATTTAAAGGGGCAACCGGAACACAAATGATTTTGTAACCAGCGGACCGCAAAAGTACACCGCGATGCGCTGTTACAATTGGTGACAACGGCACCGCCACAGAGAAAGATTGCGGTTGGCTCATCTGCCGCTTCTGCCGCTCTGAAACCCATCACTAAATGCTTGTTGCAGTCCAACTGATGACCAGTTTTGTCCCTGAAAATTAAACCACCATGAAACTCAGCTCGTGCTGTCATTTCATGCTTTCGACTACGCATTACAGTAAACAGGTTTTATATGCCATGTGCGGACGGTGAATGAAGGACAGTTCTTTTGTTGTGATCGAGTGTATGATGCACCTATACTCGCTGGCTATACTAACCCGTCATCGCGACTGAAAACCCTGGGAATGCTTCGGATGAGGCTGAAAAAATGCAAGCACGATTATGATTACCTCATTTTTTCTCAATTTAACATCACTGGCCAATCAATTTGGCCTACGTGCGCTGCTCACTTCTCTGGAACGGCGGAGTGACTCCCCACGACCGAAGCCCAATCCTCAAACGGGTACCATCTGCGCACCAGCGAGTCCTCGCGGCCGCGAGGCGGGTGGACCTCGGAAAGAGCGCTCCAGAAGATTGATCGGGACATTGTTCAGACTGTTGGAAGCAAAAACGTTGAAGAATAGTTGGACAGGTCATTAGTGGGGAGCTCTTATCTCACTGAATTGAAGCCAGGCCCAGCATCGCTCATCGCCCAACGCCTCCGTCTGCCCTGCGTGGATAAGTCGCCGAGTCGCGCTAAAAATCATAATTTTGCCCATGGAAATGAACTATATGCCTTGGTGAGATTGTGACATGTTTCTGATGGATGGCTCTGACACTGTTTTCACTGCCACCGAGTCACAATAAAAATCTTAATTTTGCGCATGGAAATGAACCATATGCCTTGGTCAGATTGTGGCATGTCTCTGATGGATGGCTCTGACACTGTTTTCACTGTGCTGACGCACCCATCTCCTTCAAAAGCATCCCACTGCATTCAAGTGCTTCGGAACGAGGCCCGTACGACAGCGATGGTACGAGCGCTTCTGTTCGGATGGTACGGGCGCTCCGTCCACACACTGGGGCGTCGTCAGAGTCTTTCTGACCGTCTACACTCGCCGCCCTTCCCCGCTAACGGCCTAGGGCAATCCATCGATCGCAGACGATTGGCCCAGTCTTCGGGACCATTGCGCCTGATTTGCATTAGCCGCTTCGGGAAGTAGGGTTGCTATCCCCTCCCTTCCCCTGTCACGTGATCGGTGACCCAATCCCTTTCAACAGATATGTTCCAGCTCCAGTGCCGGCGGAAATAGAGCAGGGGAGGGGGAGGGCATCGGAGCGATGTTTTACGTTACACAAGGACATGAGGGCAACAATGTATATTGACCAGCCCCCCCCCCCTTCCACCCACAAAAAACGCTACGCATCACGTGCAAATATTTTGATACGTACAACTTTGACAGTTTAACAGCATTGAAATAACAACTGGGTAAAGGTGGCATACCACCTTTTTCCGCTTTTCACTCATAGCTAGGTCACACGCGTTCAATTTGGTCAGTGACGCTGATTTTCCCGAAACCCTTCTGAATAGTAAAAATTTGGATTTGACGAAAGGCATGCATTGAACCTCTTGTTTATCACTCTGGAATCAATGCTTCCCATTTGTTAACTTAATCCAACATGGATCTGATGTGACGTCTTCAACACACAGATTGGTCAAACGTTTTGTGTAATACATGTAACAAGAGCTTAAAACTATTTAGATAAATCAGTAGCAACAGCGAATTCCTCGTAGAAAAAAACAAGGGAGTGGAGAAACAAACTAGTTGATATTTCGGCAACATGCCTTTACTGAAACGAACGTCCGCAGTGAGTTCATAAATGTCTGCTGATCCTACTCGATTTTTTCAGCTTTTGTTTACCGCGATCTACAGTTTATAGAGGTCACCAACACTCAGGGGATTAAACAAGGAGTAAAAGCCAACCATTACTGCGATGCATCGCATATATAAGATTAACAACGTGTCAAAAATACGCGTACATGCAGGAGAATTTAAGTGAACAGGCATCGCGCATCCTGCGTCAAGCAGCATCCATACATGTAAACAATTTAAGCCAGCATACATCACATATCAAGGCACTTATCACATTCGCATTATCGGCCACGATGACCCCTTTGAGTTGACGTCCGGTCGGCATCTTTTTATCAGAACAGATTCACTTATTTTCTTGTCTGGATGGTTTTATGCTCTGTAGATGACTTTTTGGTCTACAAAGGGCATGGGGCTCATGTCTCCCTAGATTACAGCCTGAGCGTGCTTTGCCAAAAAATGTTCACCGAATGGGGCACTCCCTGTTTTGTTTTTAGCGTCTCGTAGTTCTTAAATGACTAAAATCAACGGGACGCATAGACTCTCCGCCCCAGACTATGTTTCTCCCATGTTTTCACACAGTTTGCACTTAATTTCGTAGACCACGTTTTTGTGTGCAAGCCCCCTGAACCCAGACTTTCATTAATGACACATATTGCCGCCGGCAGGGTTCGAGATAGAAGATTTTACCAGATACTTTTTCAGCTTATTACCGCTCCTCTATCTCGAAGTCTATGAGCCCGGGGGCAAAACCTCTCATTTATGCAAGTCTCGGTTTCAAGGGGCTTACACGCAAAAAAGTGGTCTACGAAGCAAGTGTTAACTGTGTGGAAAACAAGGAAGGGACATGGTCTGTGTAGGGGAGTCCCTGCACCCTATTCGTTTGAGGTATTATGAACATCAGCCAGACGTTAAAAAAAAACAGAGAATATCCCTTTTGATCACCTTTTTTTGGCAAAACAAGCTTAGGCTGAATGCCAGTGAGGTATGGCTCCTTTATGGCCTGTGCCCCTTTTAGAGTTCAAAGTCATCTACAGAGCAGAGGACCATCCACACACGAAAATAAGTGAATCTATTCTTATAAAAAGTTGGGGACCAGACGTTAACGTCAAGAGCTCATCATGTCCGATTATGCGAATGCAAGCTAGCTTAAAATCGGTTTCATGTATCAGAGAAGCCCGGCGCGTGATGTGCGATGCCTTTTTAATTGAAATCGTTTGCATGCATAATTGACGCGTAGTGCATAATGCCCGTTCACTTGAAATCGCTTGCTTGCTTGAAACGTGATGCGCGATGACTGTTCACTTGAATTCGTTTGCATGTACACACATTTTTCGCGTATTCTGATTCTTCTTACATATGAACCGTATCGTAGTAATGGCTGACAATTGCTCCTTGTTTAATCCCCGAATCTTGGTAACCTGTTTAAACCGTGGTTCGCCGTAAACAAAACGACTGAAAATCGAACGGGATTGGCAGGCAACGTTGAACTTACTACTGAAAGTCGTTTCCACAAAGGCATGCTGCCGAAATATCGACCCATCTATCACTCCATTCTACTGGTGTTTCTACAAGGAATAAGGCTTTTCCTATTTTCTGTCCATCGATATTGGTCCTTGCAAATGCACATCACAACCTACGACAGTTTAAACCCATTATGTAGTGAAAAATACATGCATAAATGCAGTCATTAACACCCAAATTCTGCGAAACCTTGCATTTTGGCGTTGGTTTTTCCCATGGGCTTAATCACAGTGACTCTTTTCGAAGGTTCTGGCAGGAATGGCAGGAATTGCTTACTTGTGTGCTAACTTCGTTGCAAGGTTGTGTTGCTGAAAGGTTATATGTCAGCGGAATAGTATGCGGTTTAGTAACGCACATATTCAAACTTCCATAAAGGCACGCCTGGCTAAATGCTTACGCTGCTGCTGCACCAGTGTACCAATATGTGCCTGTACCAATCGCAAACGTACACTTCTAAGATCATCATTGACACCCAACTTGTACTCAAATATGAAATATGCCAACCTACGCGGTCATGGTGGTTGAAAATACCACACAATGGTAATGAACGTAATTAGCTCCACATGGTCGCAAAATGGCCCCATCATCAGCAAAGCACCTGACATTGGTATGGTAGCAACAACTTGTACCGTCTGAAATTGGGGGGGGGGGGGGAAACAAAGCAGAATTGGGGCAAATATAAAATTGAAATTAGGAAAGTGGCAAGTGGAAAACTGACCATTTGTCATGTGCAAATGCGAAAACCATGCGTCATGCAGATGATTGATATGGTGTGGATGTAAGGGCCTACCAACTAAATTGTGAGACATGTTTTCCTAGGATCTCCCATACCATACCTTAAGAAGCCATGACAAATAGGTGGAATATGAGAAAATAAGCCGTGCAGCATGATAAAACGAC